TGTCTCCCACTCCCTCAGAACAACTTCTCTCCTTTCTACTGGCTTCCTGATTTTACTCCCCACCCAACCTTCACTCAAGGCAAAATGCCTCTCAACTGGTCAGAGTGGGGAAAATAGCTTTCCCTCAGTCTCTAAAACAATGAATTGTTAAGATTAGACAGTGTCTGGTTTGGCATTAGATTCAGGCTCAGAGAGCTCAGGTACCTTGGCTGAGGTCACGTAGCCTGCTGGTTAAAGATCTGAGACTCTGGCTCTTTGGATGCTTCTGGGCTATCTGTGTTCCTGGTGGCCTGAGTATCTTGGACCTTCTCAAGGCTCTGCCAGCCAGCCAGCACTGTGCTGTTGTGTTGCAAAGTTAGTGTCAAATCACCCCTGACCTTAGACTGCAGGTACTGCCCATGACCCTCTATATTAGAAAAAAAACCCAATGTATAAAAAAATACTTGTTTGAGGCAATAACCCAAGCAGTACAGGATGTGACTGAAAGCACCCCCTCCCCGCTCTGAGCTCTTCCTGGTCCACTCCCCAGGGGTAGTCACTTAGCAGCCCTGTCTCCAAAGGCTCCTTAATTTCCCTGCCAGACACTGGGCTTGCAGGATCCATGCCACAGCAAGGTTATTTTTAACAAGCACCCCAGGCTTCAGGGGGTTGAGGAGAGGGGAAGAAAAAAAAATATTCCATTTGTATATTTTTAATCCATGCATATCTGAGCAGGCAGTGACTTTCTGGTCTCTGCTGCCAGAGTTGCGGGCAATTGATTAGGCTCTGTGCACTGGACAGTCCTTTCTCTTTCTCTAAGGAGGTTGTAGGGCTTTGAGGGGTCAGGAAGGGTTGCAGCATGCTTGTGGACATGGCTGGCTGCCTCCTGATCTTGCTGGCCCCAGCAGCTTCTCCCCTCAAGCAGGCTCAAGAATCCTGGCCAGGTCTCCAAGAGCGGAGAAAGTCTGGGAACTTGACTCTGTATGCCAAGCTCATATTTAGAAATGTCCAGGCAGACATTGGCATCCGTCCACTCAGGCTCTGGGTGTGGTCATGTGTGCCACCTTCAAGTGGGCAGATTCAGAGTGGGCACTAGCCCACTGTAAATATAAACACCATGTCTTTGTTCCCAAGAGCTGGAGAGGGATCTTGGGCTCCTGAGCATAGTGGAGGCTGGTGCTGGTGGACTGATAGGCCATGGGAGGAGGGAAGAAAGATACCCAGCTCCATGGCTTACCACTCAATCCATTTTCTGCAACCTTCGCCTGCAGAAACTGCCTAGTGCCCTGCGGTAGCCCAGATAGTGCCCAGTTAGTTCCTTCCCCTTCTTTCCCTTTTTTTCTACCTCCTCTCCTCTTCTTTTCTTTTCCCTTTTTCTGTTCTGTTTCCCTTTCCCTTCCACTACCCTTTTCCTCTCATCCTTCCCCCTTCCCTCTTCCTTTCCACTTTTCGTTCCCAGTCTGTGAGACTAGCTCAAGGCCACCTATATCAGAGCCTTCTCCATCTCTCCCTTCTGGGAGCTACCAGCCTCTCAATTTGTCCAGAACCATGTTCATGAAAGGTGGCCCAGGATGACTCATCTCTGAAGGCTCTTTGAGCACCCTGCGAGTGAACAACAGCAAACTGCTCCACAATCTCTTGCTTATCCATGACAGCATATGATGGAGGATGAATTAGGCTTTCTGGTCTGGACTTTAAATTATCACCTCCCTGGGTTATAAACACCATATCTTAGCCCTTTGGAAACTCTCCTTTATTTTCAAATAATTCCTTTCCATGGAGGAATTCTGGATCCCTCCGTCCTATCTAAGCTATTTCATGAGCACCTATAAAGGCAGGCCCTATGCGCATCAGTCCTGTGGTGGCCAATGTGACTATGCAGCCACCTGCAGGAGATGGGACAGGAGGCGTCCTGCCCAAGCTTCATCACAAGCCTCCACCCCTTTGCAGCTCTGCCCTGGAGACCTAAATGACTTGCTCTCCAACTTCAGCCTCTGGAGTGGAGGCTGCCTTCCTGTAGCCCTCTCTACTCAGAGAAAGTGAAAGGTCTTCCACCTATAGCCTGATTCTGCCCTCCCCTACCCCATTCTGTCCTTAGCTCCCCACACATCAGGGGATCAAAAACTCCAAGAAGTGGCAATGAAGGCAGGTGTTTTCTGGTCTGTCCTGGGCAGCATAACTAACATGCAATAACTGAATAAGTAGATGGATGGACAAATGGACAAATAAGCCAATGCTTGAAAGGCTAGGTGGAAACTGAGCTTCTGCTCCAAAGGAATTTAAAATGCAGGTGGAATAGACTTCAGGGTGGTGGCTGTTGGGACTGAGGGGGTCCTTGAGATGGAATCCAGTACCAGCTTTTTAATGAGAAAACCCCTCATGCTCAGAGGAGGAGGGCCACCTCAAAACAAGCAACAGACCACAGAGGTCAGGTGATGGCGAGATGGCACAGGGGGGCAAGATCTGGAACGGAGTGCAAGGTGGCCTGAGTGTCCCCTGTCCTTGGGAAGTGTGCCTTTTCATATGGTTGGGAGTGGACAGTGCAATTTTTCTTAGAGGGTTAATTGTTTGGCTGACAGCACAGATAATTAGGAATGAGAATCCTGGAGTGAGGCTGACAGCACCATCTGCTATGAATATGTTTCAGCCCCACCTTGCTAGAAAGTCTGGACATGCTGGCTGTGAATACATGATGTGCACCCTTCTACCTCACAGAGATGTGGGTGCTCAGCTGTTTGCTTCTGGCCTGATGCTAGAGGATGTAGCCAGTCGGCTAGCCAGGGGATTGGCTTCTTATGGGTGCATCATCTTTCTCTCTCATAACAACCAATAAGGGCTTCAAGGTTTAATGAGGACCCAGCACTAATACAAGGGGGACAGTTTTCTGTTCCTCTCCAGGGCCTGATGGATAGTAGTCTGGTCTTCTGTTGGCTAAAAATGAGCTATATGGCTGCCATTGATGGTTTAGCTCCTTTTCCTGCCCAACTCTATGGATCTGTCACCTGCCCTGGGCTTTCTGGCCTTTTGACCTGTGCTGCTTATTCCAGAGGGAGGTTGGCTTTGGCTCCCACAGCCAGTCAGGGACATCTTAGGTGTGATTTCTCTATTTCAGTAGAAAAACAGCTGCTTATGTCCAGAAGCAGCTGAGACCTTTAAAAAATATTTTTTATTGTGAAAATACTGTACAGAGGGGTTACAATTACATGGGCAAGATAATGAGTACATTTCTTATCAAGCATTGTAGCCTCCTCCTTTGTTTCCCCTTCCCATCCCTTCCCGTCCTCCCCCTCCCCCCCCCCAACCTTTTTTTTAATAGGAGTAGAATTTTGTGTTTTTCCTTTTCCTTTTAGTTTTTTTTTTCTGAATCACACATGTAGAAAAGCATATGGAATGCATGTGTGCCTTTAGAAGGTGATAACAGTTTGCTTTCAAAGCAACTCTTGGGCTGCATGTTATCTTTCACAGGAGGGCCTGCCTCAAAGGCTGCGTGGAGAGGCTAAGGGTCAGCATAGCTTCCCCTGGAATCTGTGGCTCTTTATCATGGCTGATTTCCTTGTCCTCTCTGCTGCTTCTCCTAACTTGGTTGAGAAGGAGTAGTGTAAGGCTGGAATGCATCTCAGTATCACAGCCGTGTGGACAGCAGGAGCTTGTCCCACCACTAGCCAGGCCTGGTGAGAGGTTGGGGCTATGGTCAGTGCAGACCCAGTGTCCAGGGACAGGGGTGGGATGGCAGCTTCAGATGATGCCTTCTGGCTCCTCCCAGCAGATTGTGAGCCTCAGTTATGGTTGTGGAATGCAGTGACACATGAAGCCAGTGTCCCTGTCCCTCATCCCAGAGACATGTGCATCATCTCTACTTTGGTCTCTCACTTTGGGATGCAGGTCTCTGGAGAGATGTTCATCAGCAGCCTTGGGTGGATGGCCTTGAAGGAAACTCCTAGAGGACAGCTCATGGAAACCTGGCCTCAGGGACCTGGCCAGCAGGGTGGAGGAGTGTTCCACAGCAGACAGATCTTGATCTTTACTCATTACATTGCTAGAGCAAGGGCATTCATTTCCTTCCTCTTGCCTCTGGCCAAGGGAAAGAGTCTAAGTCTAAACTCTGAATGAAGGCTAGCATTTTGACACACATCTTTTAGGAAGATAGAATGTAATGTGCAGAGGTAAGAACTTAGGAAGGAAAGGTATGATGGCACATCTGTAACACCAGCTACTTAGGAGGTATAAATAGGAGGATCAAGGTTTGAGGACAGTTTGGGGAAAAAGCTAGGATTTTATATCAAAGAACAAATTGGGCATAGTGATGGGTTTCTGTAATCCCAGCTACTTAGAAAGTACAGATAGGAAGATTTTAGGCCAAGACTGGCCTGGGATATAAGCATAAGAATTTACCTGAAAGTGAGGGAGGCGGGGAGGATTGGGTGGGGGTGGGGGGGGAGGATGGGAAGGGATGGGAAGGGGAAACAAAGGAAGAGGCTACAATGCTTGATAAGAAATGTACTCATTATCTTGCCCATGTAATTGTAACCCCTTTGTACAGTATTTTCACAAGAAAAATAACCCAATAGACATACTCTTCCCATTTTGAAAGTAGTTGCATGTATACTATTTCTCTTCTTTAAGCATTGTAGTAGAGCCCTAAGTTTAACCCTTAGTGCTGCCAGAAGTAATCAAAGAAACAATAACAAATCCCAAAATGGAAAAAAAAAAACCCAAAACAGAAATGAAGTTTGTATGTGTATGGGTGTGTCTCACAGTCTATGGGTAAGGACTTTCAGTGAACTTCCTGAGGTGCATAAAGCTGGTATAGTCACCAGGTACTGCAGGACATAATAAGAAAAAGCAATGAGAGGATGTCTAGAAGATTCCAGAACATTTCACAAAGATGGATGTGCGTCTCTGCCACAGTAGGTGACACAGGCCTCTGTTCTTCCTGCAGATTCCCTGTGAAATAGCTGGAATCTGAGGTGGCTCCATCCCTGAGGAGTGGGTTAGCAGAAGAGGAAGAAGGGATGGTGTGGAGCCCACTCAGGGCCTGAGGAGTGAGCCACAGCCTGTTGAACCTGAAGCCTTCCAGTGGGGGTCAGCACCCTGGGGTGACTCAAGAAGAATCGATGCTTTGGCCCCCACTGACATGTACATGGTGTAATGACAGGTAATGAACCCGAAGCTTGTCTGTCCTTTATGACTGATATGACGGGTGGGAGAATTGATCAGGCTGCTATAGACATAAAATGTCAACCTCAGGATGATAACTATGAAAACAAAGCACAGGACGGCCTGATAAGACGATAGATGGACGCTTTATGGTTATTAGTTTTTGCCCGTGTTTGCAGGAGCCAAGCACCAGAAGATTTAGCATCAGCTGGGTTCACTTCTAGGCTTATGGCAAGGCTCAATGCCTTTATGAATGGAGTGCGTCTTATTTGAGAAACAGAGTAACAAATCAAGAAGTCATTATTCCCATCAGCTCTGGTGGGAGGCAGGGAATCTGTGCCAGTGGGGAAACTGAGGCAGCAAAGGGCAAGGGAGCTCTTGTGTGTGTGTTTGATGCGTGACAGGTGGACCTGGGGACCCTGCTGTTTTGTAATACTTCAGGTTTGCTTCAGATAATTGAATAATAGGTTGGAAACAGATTGGTGTTTTTCATGAGAAAAGGGAAAGAGAGTTCATGGCTCCCCTATTTCCTCAAGGGTGCCAGTACAAGTGACAGATGATAGGAGGTAGCCCAGGAGGTCCGGAGTAGGGATCTGAAGGGAATGCTCAAAATTTGGCAGACATCTTGAGTTTAGCAGTTGATCCTGGAACTTGGCTAAAGTAGGAAGAAGCATCAAGCAGGCTGTTAGGGTCTAGAAGGCAAGGCCTTGGGACTGAAAGGAGAGGGGGTCACTAGGACTAGAAACTCCAAAGCTGGTCCCACCGGTTGTCTGGTCTGCCCTGTCACTTATGCGGGGTGCTGCTCTAGAAACTTCTACCATAGGGAACACGGCAGGCTGAGACAGAAGCAAAAATAGCTTAGAGCCTTGGGAAAATGACCAGGTCAAGGAAGGAAGGGCCTATGTCCAGAAGCAGGAGGCCCAAGAGGGTGTGGCAGATTCCATTCCAGTTCAGGCCAATGTCAGGGTCCCCGGGTCAGAGCCAAGGCTGGGGAGGGGCAGAGCAGTAGGGCTTCTGGGTGGCCTTGTTCTAAATCAGGCAGAAAGAATAAGTTGAAGGAATCCGGAAAGCTGAGCCCAGCTCTAGGAGGTGGATCAGCCACACTCACTAGGCAGCCCCAGGACTTGGCTCCTGCCTCTGCAAGGAAATGGAAGGAACAGAGCTCTGGGGCCTGGAGGGGCTAAGCTGAGAACGAGGTCATTCCTTAGGTGCCTGAGCTAAATATGAAGTATTGGGCCTGAGCTCTCTTCACATTGTAGTTCTCAGTGGGGCACCTGGTCTGTACAGCTAGGCTTGATTGGGGCCTGGGGCAAGGTTGACCATGAGAGGTCTTTTAGTACGAGGGGAGCAAATGCCACCCTGAAGGGGGTGGGCAGGGGAAGATAGGGCAGTGTGCTGTCAGAAGTTCTTTAGTCAGCCAGGTACTGGTGGGTCATACCTGTAATCTTAGCTACTCAGGAGGCTGAGATCTGAGAATTGAGGTTTAAAGCCAGCTCTGGTATAAAAGTCTGTGAGACTTTTATCTCCAATTAACCAGCAAAACACTGGTAGTGGAGCTGTGGCTCTGCAAGTGGCAGAGCACAGCAACTAGGTCCTGAGTTCAAGCCCTAGTGCTAGTAAAACAAAGAAAGAGAAAGAAAGAAAGGAAAGTTCTTAACCTATCTGACCAATAGTTACCAAGCACCTACTATGTACATTTCTCTAATGAAGAAATGCTAAAAATAAGATAGTCTGCTCCCACACAGAGGATGTAGAAGAGGAGAAAACACAGAGACAGATCCTTCTCTACACATTTGTGAAAGCTCTCTCAAGAATAAAGTACAACATTCGAAACAAATCCCAGCCACTGGCATCATAATACATAATCAATATATTTAGTTTACATCACTTTTTGGCTCTCAGAAGTACTCAGGTCTGGCAGATGGGAGAGTGACAGGCTGGAAGGAGGGCATTCTGACCTGGGACTTATAATGGCTGACAGTCTGGTCAATGGGGCTTAAGGTGGGACCTTGCATTTAGAATTGGTGATTATGTTTGAGTATTGTGGCTTGAGAAGCACAGGAGACGGGGGCAGGCAGCCTAGGATTGTGAAGTTCTGAGAAAAGAAGAAGGACATTCTTACAATGCTTGGAGAATCTTGAAAACTGCTTCCAATGAAGTTTCTTGGATAGGGGAAGGATGGAGCAGGGAGGGAGAGGAATGACCCAGCAGAGATAGGAAGCTGGTCACAGGTGTAAGCCATACTACTTCTCTTGCAATTTGCTAGTTAGTCACATGGACAAAAATGAAAAACAAGCAAGTGGAATTGATTTTAATAATGTATTTCATTTAACTCACTATGTTTAGAATATTATCATGTCATCAAATAATCAATATAAAGTATTACCTTTCCTTGGCCTTAATGTCCTTCTTAGTTAAATGGATGGGAGAAAGTGTTTTGTTATGACTCAATCCTGGGGTCAGGTAGATGAACATCCTGCAAGTAAGGCTCAATGGGGCTCGTGGTGCAAGACTGGTGGGAAGTATGGCAACACCCTTTCCTTGCCAAGTCTACAGAATGTCATTCTTCTCTGCAAATTCTTCTTGCTTGCTTCCTGGGGGCCCACGGGGAGCAGCAACCCATGTACCACCTTAAGGTTTGCATAGAGAAGAGGCAGAAAGCCACATTGCCCTTGACTGACAACCTTCCCATGTGTGTTTAACAATTTTAATTTTTCATGATTCTTCTGATAAAAATAGTGCCCGACTAAAAACAAATACATTTGTATTTTCAGTCTCCTTAATTAGTTTCTAATTTGGGGGTTCTTACAACCTTAAAATCATCTCACTGAAATGGTCCTCCAATGATAAAAAAAAAAAAAGAAAAAAATATGAAAAGCACAATCAATTCCAGAGAGATCTTCCTATTTAATTATGCTGATTGGTGCACTAGAGACCCCCGGCAATAGGAACCTCTCAGAATAAGCTTGATTTGAGCAATTTGGTTTTTAAAAATTTAGAATGCATATTTATCATGTTCAACTCTATGCTGTTGTGTTCTCCTTGAGCTTCTTACTTGTCTCCAGAGAAGAGGGAGGAAGGAAGCCAGGGACGGCTGAGGTAAGCCCATGGATTTACTGGCAGGGTTTGGCCTCAAGGAAAAAAGAGGTCTCCAGCTTGTCTGCTGACCCAGAAGCAGGTTGGAAAAGGTAGGCTGATACACCTTTGCAGCTGGGTAGTAGGGGAGTTTTTTCCCCATAAAAACCACCAGAATCAGCCATTCCTCTGTTAGAGATGTAACCAGAACAAAATTCTAAAATGTGCTATGGCTTTGGAGACACTGAGAAAATTGAGTTGGTCAAAAAAATTTGTATCTCATCCTTCAATGTCATGTTATCAGCTTTGCTGTTAAGTAGCAATCCCATGAACTTTGAAGGAGAGAGGAGCCTCCAGCTCCTCCAAAGAACACGAAAGTCAGGTCAAAGCCTGGGTTAAGAGTAAGAGTGGTCCTTGTTTATCAGCAGTCACTGAGCAATCCCTCAGTCTTCCCAACTCTGTTTTCCTCTCTGTAAAATGAGCCACCTACTTCACAAGGATATATGGAGACTTCACAGTAGAAAGCCCAAGACCAGAGGTGACTGTTGGTCACCAGTTGGTGACTGTTATCAGGTGTCATTTTCTAAAACTCACTCCACATATTTGCTCACAGACTTGTGTTGCATGGCTCTGTGGACAGAGTGTAGTACAGCAAAGGATGGCTATCCATAGGTGCCACACTGTTTAAGGACATACAGGTGGTGAAGTCTTTGCCCTTAGGGAGCTTGTGATGGAATTGGAGAGGAAATAAGAATGACCATGATAGGGGCAGCAAAGCCACTCACCCCTGGGTCAATGAGCAATTCAACTACAGTGGGGGGGGGGTGGGGGGGAGGCAATTCCTTGGGGTTGAAATGGTTTGTGAGAGGAGGTGACACCTGACCTGGAGCCTGTGAAGATTTCAGTGGCCAGGCCTCTGTTGGAGGCCTCCGCTGGAGTACTGCCTCCCACACCCACGCTCTGCAGCTGAGCACATAAACCTTGTTTGGATTACTATGTCATAGGACTTAAGACTCAAGTCCTCCTTGTATGGAGCAGGACTTGATGCTTCCCTTGCCTGGCCCTCCCAGCCTCTCCCGTTTTCTCCTCTATTCAGTCTCCACCCACTTACCTCTTACCACTCTCGCCTCTGCTCTGTCTTTAAGCCATTCAGATAAAGCATCCAGGCCTCCACATGGCTTCCAGAAATGAGGGAGGTAAGGTTCCCGCAGAAGCTGGTTGTGCTTCTTGGTTGCTGAGAGCTAGTCAGGGCATCAACTCTCCTGGCTGCGTAGAACGACGTTATTTGGGATGTAAATGGTAGTCATGGCACTTGCCACCCACACTGTTCTTTAATCTGCACTGAAGAAATGAAAGAAAAGGCCTCAGGAAAGGGCAGTGTCATGGTAGATATTTATTGAGGTCTGCTCAGGGCCCAGGGGTCCTGCCTTAGCCACACCCCATTCATAGATGAGCCAGACACTTGTCCTGTCCTGGAGTTCTGGATGAATAAAACTTAGCTTGTGAAGTGGAAGCTGTTGTTATTGTTGATTGGCGGGGGGGGGGGGGGTGTGAAGGGGGAGGAAACGTGACATTTACAATATTCAGCCCAAACTCAGCCTCACTATGGACTTACCCAGCCATCACCAAGCCTCAGCTCTGGGCTCTGTCTCTGCCATCTGGGGAAGTTCCATGGTTTCCCTCCTCCAGCCCCAAATAGTGCCTCTATGGCCTACATGAGTGATGAGGTGGGTGACTGTAAGAAAAGAAAAAGAGCAGAAAGGCAAACCACAACAGACCAACAGGCTTTATTCAGGATGAAAACCTGTCTCCTTCAGCCCGGCTGAAGGAAAAAATGGCACACCTCCCTTACAAATGAAAGGTTAAAGTTTGAGGCAGTGACCACCATGTGTTGCTTGTTTCTGTCTAGCAAAGCTACACGTG